ACATCCATGTTACTCGGTATTTACAGGACTTTTGTGATGTTGTATTGTAGTCCAAATACCAACGATTACGATGATGGGTTTATACGCCGGGTGGTTGGTAGCGGGGTGGGGTGGCTGCCAGTCGTGGTAGTCGTCGTCGTGGTGGTGGTGATGGTGGTGGTGGTGGTGGTTGTGGTACTGGTAGTCCTCTGCAGTACGAGGAGAAGGAGGAAGCAGAGGAGGAGGAGGAGCACCAGTATTCGTCTTCGACGAACGACATCGTGGCGGCGTCGGTCGTCGTCGCCGTGGCAGCTGGGCAAACAGTGGTTCCAGCTGTAGCACCAACACCGGCAGCAGCAGTCCGTGACAGCAGAATCACTAGTATTCTGAGTATGCGTATGCAGATGAAGCTAAAAGTATAGGTCTGCGTGTCATGGGTTAAAGCACGTGGATGCGTTCAGCAGGAGATTCAGGCAATGGTAAGGACCTTGAACGAGGAGCGCAAGACCGGTCATCCGTATGGCCCTCAGGACATGCATGTTTCTTGCTAAACCTGCTTTGACAGTCCCGGATAAGACAGCAGTCCTACTTCATGTTGGATGTTATGTCACTGACAATGTTCAACATTGACTCCAAGCATGATGAGAAGCATGCTTCAGCACATAGCATTTCTTCTCGGTTCCCCCTGTCTGAGGATAATGCACATGTCTGCGGGCCTTGACCATGCGGACAAGCACTTCGACCAGTACAAGGCACCTCTTGAATTCACTGACCGTCTGAATCCTGAAGCTGTTGCTCCTGCAATGCAGGTTCTCCTGAATCCTTCTACGACCGAGATGCTGTGCCTGCACCTGAGCCAAAATGTCTTCGGGAAGGCAGAGCACAAACTTCGCTGCGAGATTCGAAGGAGAACAACGCACCAAATGGATTCTCCACGGCCGTCAGTGCCGAAGATGAGTTTCAACACGGTCGTAGTCGCCGAGGCACCGTCACGGCGGAGGCACTAGCACTTGGAAAGCGGGTGGTCGTGGCCTCGACTGGCAGCGCGGCCTTGCATTTGCAAGTCTTGGGGATGGATCTTACGTGTGAGCACACGACAGGCATGCGTGTGGTTCTTCCATCTCGACAGACAGGTGCTGCCCGACCATTCGTCCAATGCGTACTTCAAGGCTTCTCAGCATAGAACATGCCTTTGATTGTGTCTCGGGTATTTGACTCCGATCATTTCTGAAGACCGCAGGCAAACTTCGCCGACAGATGCCATTTCTTCGACCTGCAGGAGTGCTCACCATGGCAGAATGCTGGGGTCCTCTAAGGCATTCCGGGCCTTTGGTAGACCCTCTTCCCAAAGTCCCAAAGCCTGTGGCCCGAAGCGGCGTCAGGAGCTTGGCTCCTTTGAAGCGGCCCTACAGGCCGTCGTGGTGGGTCGGTGGGATTTCGAAGGCAACTGCAGAAGCAGCGCAGACTCCGAGCAGCAAGAAAGATAGATCACGCGTCAAGAAACACGTCATAAAATTCAGGCACACTTTCGAGCAGAGGCACTGCAGCTGCCACCAGTTCAACTTGCCAGGAGGCTCTCGGCGCAGAGGGCCCAACGCCGCTGCTTGCTGAGGCTGAGGATCCTCGGGGTTAGCGCGGAGAAGCTGCAGAACACGAAGTGATCTGACTGCCAAGTCTCTACTGCCACATGATTCGAGACACCCTTTGTCAGAAATGCTAGAACCCGGCGTAACATGTCTCCCAGCAGGAGAAGCTCCGTTGGGAAACGGCATCGGAGAGGTTCTACGATGCAGCGCAGGCGGTCACTACATTGGGGAGTGCGTTCTTGCTGCATGAGCCAGGGCGCGCCAGTGCCTGACTCCAGGTGCACGTCCTTTCAGGCAGGCTCTCCCGGCCATCAGAGGCCGGCAGACAGCATGCAGGGTAGGCTGTTCTTTCTTGTGCATGTCCCTGGGTGGCCATAAGTTGACATGGAAGAGTTGTGTCGAAGGCCCGAGGAGCAAAGCTAGCCTACGAACTCCACAGCCGCTTCCAGGCTCTTCTGCACATGGCCCTTGCCTCTCAAAGGTTTCATTGTGTGTAATGCATTGTACTGCGACGCGTAATTGTTTGGTGTGTGCGTGTGTGTGTGTGTGCGCGCGCGACCTCTGCCGCGTGTGCAGACGGACACCCCGGCCATGTCTGCAGCTTTGAAATCTGCCACTTTGAAGGACAGGATGCAAGAGAGCTGCACTTGCTACACTGGGCATTCTGAGAGGGCGAGTGCAGCTTCTGAGAAACCCAGAGAGGAATCTGGCTCGTGGGACACCGTGCTGGCGTTGGCCTTAGCACTGGTGAACACCGGTCTCTGAGGCCGAGGCTTTGTGGAAAAACGCCCGTACCAACTTTCCGGGGAGGCGTGAGTTTGAGACCCGACAGCTTTCTGTTGAGGAGAGCGGCCCCGGCAGTGACCTGCTGAAACGGCTGAAGCGTTTCACCATGCTGGAGCAGACCACAGACTTCGATGTGTTGCCCTGATTTGTACATGGACTGTAGGTACCGCATATGTAGATGGCATGGCCACATAAGTAGGAAGATGACGAACCTACCACAAGCCTGAATGTTTAAAGGTGAACCCTGTGTGATAATGGCAGCACTCTCGAAGGTTTCACACAAGAGTAGCTAGCAACTCTGCAAGCGAAGTTCTTGCGGGATCCATTGTATCACTTGGTTACGAAATGGTCGTGTGAGATCACTTCTGGCCTGTAACTTCATAGCGAGATTCATTGACCGAACTCTGCTTGGCTGCATCAGGCGCCGAGCATATGACATATTCTGGTCCCGGATGTTATGAGGGGTCTGGGTCAGGGCATACTTTGGCTTGGGAGGGTGCGGGAGAGCTGTGCGGCTGGACTCTGCAGCGAGCTTGCCCCACTGCTGCCGATACACAAATCCGTCTTGCCGGAGTATCTCGCAGCTGGTTGATCGGGGCTGCGGTTGTGAGAGAACTTCGCTCGCTGCCGCTCTCGTGCTTTCTGCAGCTCTGGGGTAGGACCGCGCATTTGTGCAATCTGCTAAACACCTCAGAGCCCGTTAGACAGGTTCACGCTACTGTTGCTGCGACAGGTTCGACACTTAGGTTTCTGCCCGGTGAGCCTGCATCAAGGACACGTTTTCCAAAGTCAACGAGGCTCGCCTGTGTCATGCATTCATGTGGCAGTGGGAAGCGATGCGACAGGCGATGCAGATGTGCACCCGAGCCAGTACACCCTAAGGCCCTAAACTCGACGACGGCTTCGAGGCTTCTACAATAAGCCTTCAGTCTCCCTTCCTGATCGTTTAGCAGTAGGCCAAGGGCACATCGGTCGGTATCGTTTGCTTGTTTCTGATTCACAACTTCACAAGGTTTACTGACACGACGCCTGGATCATATGCCCGAAAGCAGTCCGTCCCGCGAAAGAGCGACATTGCGGTGGATACTTGTTGGAAACTGTAAGTAAACAATCAAGAACAATGTGAAGCTCTAGCAGAGCTTCATGACCGAACACTTGCGCTAAGATCATGGATGCACGCACGGAAATATGCACGGGCCGCTTTCAAACTTCAACAGACCTGAAACCTTTGGCCGCATGTGAACATACCGCCAAACCTGTCCATACGACTTGCTGCGTGTACGGATCTGCGCAAAGTCGTTGCCACAAGCCACAAACAAGCAGTGGTCTGTTTTGTTTCTTCAGAGAGATATGTTGGGGGTATGTGCGGAGTGAGGCTCGCAATAACCTAAGTGCTGATGGCCTTGGCTTCCGAAGATATTTGGAGTTGCGGCTCGCGACCTGCAGCATCCTTGGCGCGTCGCTCTTCCTTTCACCATTCACTCAAACCCAAATCCTGTTGATAAACCGTTGGGGTTGGGTTGACGAATCAGGCATCCGGCAATGGCATGTGGGTATCGAGACTGAGAGACTGACGGCAAAGTGGCTTGACCTGACTGCAGGTGTCTCAAAAAACGCATATGATTGTTCACTTGCGACCCTAGAGTCGCTAGACCTGAAGTCCTGAAATGAACTTGGAAATGTCCCTGAACTGCAAAGCCATAGAGACCGGCACCAAATCAGCAGGAGTGAGACAACGAAATGTAGAGTCATGAAAGGAGTGAAGAGTGGCACGCGGTGGCAAACCCTGAACATCGAACTAACCTGTGTTGAGCTTGAGGTGTTTAGCCGTGCTAGTTGGTGCTCGGTAGGTTTGTGCCCCTACACCTACGCCTTCAAGGACTGCAAGAGCAGGAAAACAGCCGGACTAGCCGGACTTCGCGATTCTAGGGGAAAGAACGAAGACATGACGTAATCAGTCTAAACTACTTCGGGGCTGCGTCAAGATTTTCAAGCCGAAAGCTTAAATCCTGAATCCTGGAAGAAGATTTCGGGGGGATGCAGGTTTCGGGACTATGAATAAATACGACCTTAAGAAGTAGAACCACGGTTTCAGAAGCGTTTCCCTGCGGTTGTGCGGACTTTAGACAGGGCTTAGGGCTTAGCCTTAAGATCCAAAATAGGCCGCCTCTCTGATTTTAGGGGTTTGCTAAGGAAGGCACAAGCCTCAGTTAGTTGAAAAGGTTTAGCAGCGGGGCCTTTAGAGTTAGAATACGAGTTTATGAGCATTTGTTCGTATTAATAGCAGGACGTTCGAAAGACAAAGCCGAGCATAGCAGCAATCACGTCTGATAAGCTCGGGACCCCGCCCAAGAGTCGCAGCCTGAGTTTGGTACAGGGAGGCTGTTGTTGAGTTGCAACCTTCGTGGAACTTTAAGTGTTCCATCGAACCAGCCGCCTTGCCACAGACTTCCTCAAGCCCCCATCCCCTAGTTGCTGCGAAACACTAACTAACCCTCACTAGTTGGTTGTCTCACGCTAGCAAGCTCTTACTAAAACGAAGAGGAACAGACCATCAACAGCAAAACCCGAGACAACTCGGGAGAGCAATAGCACAAACTCGGGAAGCCAGGCTGCAGCCATGGGCGGCGTGACGTCCATCGCTGATTGTGTTGGCTCCGATCTGAGTTGGTCGTTCACTTTACTCGATTTGGTTGCAGCTCCTGTGGAAAGCACCGTTGGGAATCATGGGGCTATAGTAAGCTTTCTGGCTCACACCTCGCACTGGAATGTCACCAGGTGAGAACGAGCTGCCGAAGGCTTTCGGCCTCAGTCTTTGGAATACACCGGAAAACGTCTCCCAGCCTGGAGCTTTGTACTGTGTCGCACAGAGGCTCGCCGCTTGCCACCGAGTAAACTGCGAGGAGGCATCGGGCACGAGCACTTTGACGCACAGTTTCCTGCAGCTGAGACATCGAAGCACCAGATGCCATGACCGTGCTTTCGAGCGTTTGCTTTCACACGAAGGCTTCATGCAGTCTATCCTGGATTCAGACGCATGCACGCGACCCAGCTCTGGGGAGTGTCGCAGGCCTGTATAGGCTACCGTGTAGGTCAGAGAAGAAGAAGAAGGGCAAAGAGCTTGGGACGGAGTTCCGTCGAGTCAAGGACCACCACACATCACAGAGCCCAAGGGCCAAGTGGCTCTGAGAAAGCTGTTAACTGTTAATTGCTTGCAAGCTTTTGCACACAGGGTTGCCTATCTCTCAGCTTCCTCATACGTTTCCCGCCGACCTCGCTTACTGCTTCCTCACAGAAATGCTTGGCGTGACAAACCTGACAGTCGTCTTCACTTCCTTGCCTTTAGCTCCTGAAGATCGCGTGACCAAGTTTGGCTTAGGCGGATTCCATTCCCGATGCGATTGCGCTGAAGCGAGGCCATGCAGGGATGTCAAGTGCCCAGGCATTCCTACATGTAGTACGATCTTGCATGCAAGGGATCAATCGTCAACACATGTCCTGCATGTCATGACAGGACAAGTTAGGATATTGCCCAGGATGCTAGCACAGAGCCATGGGATCCGCCGTGTCCGCTGTCTGCACCAGCCTGGCCAGTTTCTCCGGCGAGCGCCAGAAGTACCGAATGAACAAGCCTCGTCGCGACTCGCTGCTTGAGGTTTGGTCCTTCCATCAGCCGCACAGTCTTCCGCCAGTAGTAACGTAAGCCCCATGAGGAGCTCTTTGCTGCTCACGATCTAAACAAGAACGGACTCTTGGAGGACGTTGCTGGTTTGGCTTTCAGCCTGTCGTTCCTTGCGAATTTTGCCTTCGCAGATTCCCAGGAGTTGGAACTTATTCAGCTGAACAAGAAGATTGTTCTGCCACGAGCTCAATTTTTCTGAGTCCACTTGCGGCTTACAGAGATGATGAGTCTCTCTCACTTCGCGGGATGTAAGGCTCCACTATGGTCGGAACGCGGACCTGGATGCGGTCAAGAGTAAGTATCAGGAGCATCATGCGTTTATCGTGCAAGAAATCTTGAGCACGGTATCGGACTTCGTTTTTGCACAGTAGATACCCATGCATGCGCGTAGACATGTGCACGTCTTTTATCTGCAAAGGTTCAACTAGTTGTATAGGTGTATACACACAGATGTACGTGCATACACACATGCATACATACATAGACACAGACATACATGCATGCATACATACATACGTACATGCGTACATAATTACATACACAGGTTCGACCATGCTTGCGGACATACAAATGTCTCGTTCCGCCACACACAGCCACCGCCACCACCTCCGCCACCTCCAACAGCAGCTCTCGATCCCCTTGTAAAAAGCCTGTGGGGCGAGGTGATGGCAGTGGACTGCGTGGTACGAACTGAAAGACATGAGTTGATTCGACCATTGGGCCTGAATCGTTTTTTGTAGTGGTTTTATGCATCTCGACCTTTGTCGAAGCGGTTGAACTGCTTACTGCTCTCGCATTTCTTGTTCAGGACATTTTTCGCAGAAACCTGAGCACCACTGGGGAGCCAGTCAACTTCCCCGTCTTCCGCGACTACCTTCACCAGGCGGGTCAGGGCCTGCCGGTACGTCACCAACGGTGCTGCAGCCGTTCATAATTGAAGCGAATGTGAACATCGACCGACCTGTCATGTCACCTGGGTCTTTGATTCTGGCCGAAAAGGGATCGCGCTCTAAGCAACCACTGATATTTCCCATTCAATTCGAGCACACAGCGGGGCTTCGGAGGTACGTGAGCATGGACTTGAAACTTCACATCGGGATGGCAGAAGGATTGAGCAACAGATCAAGAAGCACTTGGTACTACCCTTGGAATTGAAGGGCTAAAACTGCCAAAGCAGCAGCGTAATTCTGCTGTTTGTTGAAGTGGACTGATTCGAGGAAGCGGTGAGACTGTGATGTTGTGCACATGTCAATGGGGGTGGTGGTTGGCGCCGAAGCCAGAGACAAGATTCGCAAGAAGGGGATCGTTCCCCATGTTGCTGTGTCATAAGAGTGCTTGGCATGCCTAGGGAACAATGATGCGGCGAAGAGCTCCGCAGCTACTGTGACTCCCGATGCCTCCTTCCTGCAAGGTTCTCAACTCCATCGATCCGGATCCTACTGCGCAGGAGATGATATTGGAGCTAGGGCCCCGGACCGAACCTCGAAATTGCTTGACTTTGAAAGGTGTCATTGACACCTCCTTGCCACTGTAACTCACTCTTTGGTTGCGCACCTGCAGAAATTCATGCTTTGTTCGAAGACATTGTCGATGTGACACATCTACTTTTCCGTGTCATTGAGAATGCATGCATGTATCACTTGCATCTGAGCTCAAGCTGCAGCCTGAGTCGACAAGAATCAAGTAAGGTCAAAGGCACAGAGTTTTCCGGTTGTCGTCTGCCGGCTCTCTCTGATCATCCCTGAAACGTCTGCCCGTCTGAGGCAGTGGCTGGCGGAGGCTCAAGCTGCCTTGCCCTCAGTCCTTGGCGCCGCCAAGCATCCGTCAGATTTGCCCTAGCAAATCACACCTCCAAAAGCCTGCTTCTACGAAATCTGGCCGAGACTTGGAGACATGAACGGATATGTGCCAAGGCCCGCCTGATGTTCCACATGCCGTCTGTGATGAGCATGTCGGCAGTGTCCCCAGATGTTGCTTCGATCCTGACTTCCGGAAGACCTTGCAAGGCGTTGCATGCAAATGGTGGTAGAGGCGCAGGACATGACAAGGTTTCGGTGCTTTTCCCGAGGATCTGCCTTTCCTGTCCACGATCTCCTTCGACCAGGACCTACCGTCGGCTGCCGTGTTTTGCGCCAGGATGCCATGCGACCAATGCGAACTGACCCTGTTCAAACGCCTCCAGTCCCAGTATTCAGCCAGGGCATTTTGGAACCCTTCGGGGTTCCATCTAGACTCTTTGGCCTTGCATCTAGCACTCGCAGCACTCACAGCTGCTGGCTGTCCCCATCCCACCCTGTCGAAGCAAGCCAGACTTACCGGATCAGCCGAACAACAGTGAATGCCTAGTTGAGGCCATATGTGCAGCGCCCAGATAGGCGAAGTCCAATCCGGTGTCTCCCCGCTGTGGTTCGCAGAGTGCAGGATGACCTGGAATACAAGCCTTCAAGCTGGGGCCTTGGCGCCGTCGTGTCTCGCACAAGGGTAGATTCAATGCGACGCCGACAGCCAGCTCTCCTTGCTGTCAGAAAGCTCCAGGCCGGCGCTCGGTGGACACGGCTTCCACAACGGCATCTGTTTCTATGTATCGAGCTTGGCCTGGGAGTTCACATTTAAACCACCACTACCACAGTTGGGTATTTGAAGATACATTACATGTCAGAAGTCGCTGACAACGCTTAGGCCAGTCACCTCAACGGCACCTGCTGCAACCCCAGAGGGCCGAGTACATGTGCCGCATGTCAGCCGACCATTGCAAGCCAGTGGAAGTCCACCAAGATCCGCTGCACCTCCTTCGTCCACGCCGGCCCACCGACGGAGGACGAGAAGGCCTATTTTCGAGCATGGACCTGCCCCTCTGCTTGCAAAGTCGGCTTCCGCAAGGGCAGGAGAGTAGCGCTATGCGGTTTGGGATCAGGCTGTTATCTGTGTTCAAGGGCACTCCAGCGCAGAAGGCTTCAAATTCCGCTTGCTTCTCCAGCCTGTTCAGAGGCCGGGGCTCGCACTTGTCCGAGCTAAGGTTGCCCAGAGTAAGAAGCGCTGAGAGGGCTGGAGCGGATACTTCCCGCCGGGAACCTCAACTTAAAACATCTTAAAACCCATCGGATAGAAGAAGCCGTCGTAAAGCGAGGTAAGGGCACTCCAAAGTTAGTTTGAAGTTGCACCTTAAGGTAGGGAGCAGATGTGAAAAGTGGAAGTCCGTTTAGTACAGAAGCACTTGCAAGTCATGAAAAGTCCCTCCGAAATCCACTTTTCAACAGCTCAGCCTGCACGGGGTCGAAAGACCAATTAGCTGTGCGGTTCTGATGCCAAAGCCTGCAACCGCACTCTAGGCCTCGGCACGCCAGCACATTGTCCATTCTTGTTCTTGGTTTTAGGCACTCCTAGATAGAGCAAGTAGATGAGCGCTTGGAAGCTGGCTGCCGTGGAAATCTTGCATTTGCGGCGCGGCAAATCGCCAGCTAGCTGTGCGAGATTTCCTCTGAGTCACTACGCCTGTTTCGTGTACTCCATCATCCATGTTGTGTCGTGCAGGGACGTGGCACTTTTTGTGGTGATGGACGGCTTATGTATATGTAGTGCATTGTAGTGCGGACTCCGCCAGTATCACAGAAGCTGCTAATGCTGACAAGTCTTTCGCTGACGTCTGGTGCTTCCAACCGACGATTCAAAATCCTAGAGTGCTGTGTCGAGATGCTGATGAGTACCGAATTGAGCCTTCATCTTGATAGACCCGAATTGGGTCATAGATCTTTTTCTCTTTTCGGGTATCGATTTGAATTTTCCGACCCTTATTATTGATATAGGTAGAGATAAAATCTGTGAAGAGGAATTAACCCTACATGTGCATGTATGAGATCGCGTGATGTGGGCGGTCTGTTGGATGCGGTGCTGCGTCTGGCATGCCGGACTTAATTTTTCTACGCGTCCCTCTTTATTCTTTTTTGATCTCCTTTCTTGAATCATGAAATTTACCTAATATTCTATATATTAAAGATTATAGAAAAAGACTATATATATATATGATATTATAGAATAATCTGAATATAATGAATATAAATATATAAATATATATATATATATCAAATATTTATTAATATTATGTATAAAATTGATTTTGGTTGACATTAAGAGATATATTAATTGAATTATTAAGATATTTCTAAGATTTGAAGAACTATAAAAATATAGAAATCTATTTCATATATATATTATTATTTTTTATGATTTGAATTAATTGAATTATTTTATAGATTTCTTTATATTCGAGAAAATAAATGATTTTTCATATAAGATAAGATATTTTTTGAGAAAATATTAATTTTTGAGATTTGCATATCTATAAAAAATTGTGAATTCTAGAAATTATCTAGATTTTTTGTCTTAATTTTAGATTCGTGGGATATTTACGAATCTCTGAAAAAAATTTGATTTTTTTGTTATGATTCTCTGATTTTGTATGATTTTAGTGTGTAAGAATTTTGTTCGAAAATAATATATAAATCGAATAAAGCTATATGAATTTTCTTTATATGTGTGATAATTGAATGACGAAGTTACTAAATTGGGTTGGGACTAGACCTTGATTCTTGAATTTTTTCGAATATTTGTGGAATACGTATATGAGGCTCTAATTATATATAGCCGTATCTTTTTGATTGTATTTCTGATTTTCTTTCTATTTATTTGTCTTTCTCTAATTATCTGCCGCTCTACGATAATATGGATATATTTCTCTATGATTTATATTCGTATGGATCCTAATGATATTTATTTGTGTCTCTCTAATAAATATTATTTTTTTAACTTGTTGCTAGAAGTTTAATATTCTTCTATTATCTAATGGACTAAGAAATTTCGTTCTCTAATCTATATTAATTGATTTTATTTCTCATATTTTGCCGAAAGTATCGTTAAGGGTTTTTAGAGAGGTATATAGGATTAAGTTCTTAATGCCGAGTGTATAGAGTATAGTATAGTTCATCCGGATCAAATATATAGAATCAAATATATTAGAATGATATATATCGAGTGAAATATATCGAATTAAATATATAATTGATAGAATGAAATATATGAGATTGAAGACGATCGAATGCAATATATCGAATCAAATTTACAGAATGAATTATACCGAATTAATAATTTATCTATATCTCGATATATCTAACTTTCTTTTTCTAGTGGCATCCAGCCCCGATGCCATCGATCGAGAATGCAATCCTTTGTGTGGATTGGCGTGGTCGAGCGCCCGAACGCGAGTTAAATTTACAACTTTTCGGCGTGACGCGCAACGTTTTGTGTGGATTGGTGTAGTCGAGCGCCCGAACGCGAGGTTAAATTACAATTTTTGGGGCTCCCGCAAGGTTTTCGCACAACCCTTAGCGAGGCAAAATTATCATTTTTAAAATTCCTACGTAATCTAATATATCTGTACGAAGCCATCGAGAGAAATATATAGATAATTATAGATGATAAATATAGAGTCACGATAAATATAGAATCAAGTGCATATAAAGTATAGCAAATAGAATCGAAAACGGGTGACAAATAACAAATACTGAATGAAATAATAATAAATATAGAATAAAGATATTCGTAGAATCCATAGAATCAAATATATCGAATATCCTAAACCTAGATTCTGAATTTAATGAATCTATATATTTGACTCTGTGATAATATGACTCTACAAACTAATTTCTATATAGTCAAATTAAACACTCGAATCTATAGTTAGAGGCCTCGCGCGGCTTAAGATGCCGAGCCTGCGGGCCTGTTTAGGGGCCTGTCAGAGGCCCCGCGCGCCTTGGGATGCCGGGCGAGGCCGGGGGCCCCCCACCCCTTAAGATTTCGAGCCTATAGTCGGTGACCCTATTCGAAGCCCCGCGCGCCTTAAGATACCGGGCCTGGTGGGGCCTATTAGAAGCCTCCTTAAAATGTCGGGCCTATTAGAGGAAAGAAATAAGAAGAAATAAAAGTAATATAGAATAAATATTTAAAAACTACAGATAATAACTAGACGAGAAATAATATACATTTAAAGAAATATTTAGAAAATATAGAAATAATAAAAAAAACAAATTCCAATTTTCCATTATCACACCGTAACATTCTCACGAAATAATTAACAAGAACCAAATATCGTAGAAAAGAATATATAATATTATATATTATTTTCATTCAAAATCAAGTTTTCGATAAGTAAGACAATTATTTATCCATCTAATCAAATAGCATCCCGTTTATATTTATCTCAAGAAGCTATGATCTTCGATATAAATCATGCATCGTCGATTTGAAGTGCAAATAATATTATATCAAATTATGCCAATCCATTTTTCTTCATGCCGAAAAGTATCGATATTTCAAGATAGTGACAGAGTACCGCGACGACCATGACGACCACGACCAGGAGCACTAGGACCAGGACCAACAATTCCCTGATGCGACCAGGATGACCGCGACCCCAACAAGAGCACCAGGAGACCACGTACAGACTACCAGGACCACAATGCAGCCCTGCATCTACTGAAGGCCTTCACAGGCGTGGCCGCCGCACTTCCCTTCATGCACCGGTGGGATTGGAGGTGTAACAGAGATATAGGGGCCTGATGGGAGGTTGTGTTTATCGGTTTTTAGGGTCCAGGAAAAGGGTTTGGGCCTTAGGTGCTAGCGCTCTCTATCATGATTCTTGTGTACAGGTTGTGGACGGAGTGTTTACTCACCCTTGTTCAAAAAGGCGTTTTGGGTCTTCCGTGGGCTGGCTAAGGCGGCTAAGGGTCACCGGCGGATCAAGGGACTTAGTGAGTGGGACCTGAAGCAAGGTCAGTCTGAGCTGCCCCAATCGATCGACGTCTACGACAGAAGGATATGAGTAAAGGTTCTTGTGAAGCGGAGATATGCAGAGATGATTAGCAGGCATTTGCAGTCTCCCAGTCGCTTTTTTCGTTCGATGCGAGACCTGCGTGTTTGCACAGCGATGTGTCTGCCTGGAGGACTGGTTGCCTGTGGCCCGCTCAACTGCCAACCCAGCTACCTCGTGGCTTTTGCAAGTCTGGACTGGGCGGACTCTAACTTCCGGTTCTCCAGGTGTGAGCATCACTTGCTCTTCACTCTGTGCTGAGATTTTAGAGGTCTCACCTAAACACTTCTGGAGATCTCTGCCACGTGGCTTCTGGCCCCTCCGTGAACAGAGAATAGCAGAACTCTTCTATATATGCGAGTCGGAGGGGTCAGGGACCTTGGTCAAAACAGGTAGCTTTGCGACACGACGAAGGGAAGCAGGGATTGGTGTGAACCGAATGTTAAAGTAGTGCGCATGGATATCATGTGCTGAAACTGGGAATCCACATGCTTCATTTGTAGCACTTACGGCTTGTTTCCCGAAGTTTGTGGCAAACTGCTGCTACAGGCCTGCATAAGACATGACCATCACACTCAGCTGCCACCACTGCTGGAGGCTCATCCTGACAGGGCTCACTTGCGGTGCGCCGTTCCAACGAATGCACGTCCATGGCTCGTCGCATACTGCCACTGGGTCTGATAGAGACTACTTTATCTGCTTGTCGCTCGTGAACTCTTGTGACGTCAGACTACAAGCGGAAAAAGCAATGGCAAACAAGACCTGCCGCAAAGCAGGGCATCATCTCTTGGTTGTCGGGGGTGTTGCAGTGTACCTCAGAAACTGGCTTGGCAGTTCATGGCAGCAGCCTTTCTGGCAATCATGCTGAATACTGAGGCTCTTGCATCTGGCTAATGACACTTTGCCTTTTCAGCATCTCCAAATTGGTCTTGGCTTGGTCCAGAAACGCCTGGACCCCGTTGCAACCACAAACTGTCTGTCAAATTGCTGATATCCCGACTGGATTGGCTAGATGCAACAGCGTGACAGCCAAACTTAAGTCTCAGCCTTTCCCCGCTTAGCAGATTTGAAGCTACTGCAGCCCTTGTTATGAGCCAATGGCCTGTCGCCGGGGCTCGTCCACCTGGCTCTGTCGGCCTGGGTTGACGCGTGGCTTGCCGTGTTGCTCTGCCTCGTAGCTGGAACTACCAGTACATTCAGTACATGCTGAGGCTGCTACCAAACAGAGCCTCAGCTCGGAGCAGACGACAAGCCACAAACTTGTAAAAGGCAAGAGTCGAAACAGTCTCGGCCCGATGCACGGAAGTCTTCTCGTGCCCGTCTCGCGAAATAGTGTCGAAAATTGTAATCCTGAACAGGCTATCCTGCAAAGCCCAGGATGTGGCCTAGGGCTCTTGGAACTGAGCTCTCTGCCGTGAAGGCCCGGGAAGCTCTCAAGGTGTGCCTGTACATCTGCATGGCCTGGTCGGGGAGACGGAGCGAAGTCAATTTGGGCCGCAAACCATCCAGGCCCCAAAGACTTCTACAGCGACCCCTGGCTCCACAGCCGAGTTCCTTTTCCCGGCCTCTTGAAGAGCCATGTGCCCGCAACCAGGTTTCAAGGCCTGTCCGGACGACAGAGCTTCAGGTGGGAATGAAACAATCTTGCCATTGGCCGATCAACGCAGAGGCTACACACAACGACTGCCTCATGAGGTGACTGATGCAGGCCTGGGACAATGCCACCTTTCGGGCAAGTACTATAGACACAACAGGTCTGAACAGCTGATGGCAGCAGCGATCGGTTGCCAATGACGGGACGATGAAGATGATAACCGCGATGATGATGATAAGATGATGATGATAATGACGATGATGATGATGATGATGATGATCATGATGGTGATGGTGATGGTGATGGTGATGGTGATGGTGATGATGATGATGATGGTGATGACAATGATGAGGATGATGATGATGATGAGGATGATGATGATGACGATGATGATGATGATGATGGTGACGATGATGGTGGTGCTGCTTTTGCTGCTGGCCTGCTTGTGACTGCTATGCGTCGTCCTGGCAGTGCAGCAATGGGGAGCTCCTTTTCCACATGGCGATTCGGCCCTTCGTTTTCAGCAGGCTCGGCCACACTCACAAGAAGGTCAAACCTTCGCACATGGAGCACACAGCATTCGCAGCGGATTTGCAAAACTAAACTGTTTATGCGCCTTCGTCCTCGTCTTCTTCTGCGGCCTTTGCATCCTTCTCTTCCTTTTCCTCCGTTTTGGGCGCTGGTGTCGCTTCCGCGGCCTGGCAACATCTGGGACGGCGGGCAGGGCAGCAAATGTACTCCGCTGGCTGGTGGCCCCGCGCGGAAGGATGATCCTGCCTTGGCTTCCTCCTTGGCCTTGGCACCGTTTGCTTCGGAAGCCTGTGCAGGCAAGGGATTGGGGACTCTGATGCAACTCTGCGACGAACTCGGATCTGCGAGGTCAACAAAACACTTCACTCAGCACAGTGCTGGCACGCTGCTCGGCCACGTATGGCCACGTAACAGGTGGGTCAAGTCTGATTTGCAGATGCAAGCATTCCTATGCATCGGCGTGCAGTCGCTCCATTTCGCAAGCGCTGCAGACAGCTTCCGTCGCGCTTTGAGCTTCGACCGCCGCAGCCACAAGGGGTTTCTGGTGGCCCCTCGGCTCGGGAGGCCACTCCCTCGGAACGTCGCAGAGCACGCCCTCCATAAGGCGCAGAGGATCAGGTCTGGCTCGATAAGGCGAAGTCCAGTGAAGGCGGCGACAGCGCACGGGATCACTCCCTGCAAGGCAACGAGCCGGTCCCCTAGTGTTAAATCATAAGTACCCGAGCCCGGCAATGCCCGGCAAGCCCTGGCCCAAGCCTTCGCTCACGAACAACTGGAGCACGCTCTGGGTCAAAGCGTAGTCTCCTGGTCTCCTGACAAACCCCCAAGCTGCGCATGTCAGAAGAGCCGAAGTCTGGAGCAGCCCAAGGTCCAGCGTCAACTTGCTGCCGAAGATGTCGTAGACGTAGAAGCCGCTATCCTTGGGCAGAAATCAGAATCCAAGGGCCCGAGTCCCAAAAAGGGTCTCTCGCCAGTGGATCCGGTGGCTTTCTCGACTATGAGTTCGGTCGGTGGGTGTGACATGGCCTGCTGGCAGCTGCGCCCGCGGTCCGGCGAAGACATGCCACAATCGACTTTGTACTCCGGCAGTCTGGGTCTAACAGTTTCAGCTACAGCAGCACCTTCGGTGTCTGTGGAGTCTCACTTGTCGGGAGTTTCGAAATCGGATGACTCCACACCGACAGAGCAGCGGCAATCATGACGTCGTTGGTAAAGAGTGCAGGCTGTCGCCCCTGGGTTTCCCACGAACAGGGAGCAATGACATAAGCTACAGCCATGCTGCTACCCAGCAATTTCGGCTGGGATGCATGATGCAAAATGCAAAGCACAGCCCTGTGACAGAGCCAATTTCTGCTGAATGAGCTGTCGCAGCCGGAATCTGTGGAGAATCAGCGACGTGTTCAAGTTTCGAGATCCCTACGTTGCGCAGAAATTTTGCTTCTAGACTCCAAAGCCGCATGCCCGTATTTTGCACTCATCGAAAGGACAAGTCCACACTGATTCGTGTTCGCCGCGACTCTCACAAAGCACGGGCAAGCTTCTGCAGAGCGTCGCGGCCGACCGAAGCCAGAGAGAAGACTGTGCTATGCATCTCTCCTCGCAATGCTGCCACGGCTCCCAAAACCACTTGGCCGCACAGACGGTGAATACCTCAGAGAGGCAAACCCACATTATGGCAACCAAAAGAGGCAAAAGACAAATTGGGCATAGCATAATCAAAGACTAAGGCCAGTCGCAGAGACGGCGGCGATTCGATATGGCCCGGCCCATTTGAGCCGCTCCTCGCTCGGAAGCGCACTGCTAGATGCTGCTAGGGCTGGTCCAACCCATGCGCCCATTCGGATCCACTGAATCTCCGACTGTCTCAGGGCGAGTCAGGCAATTTCTTTCGTCTCAGAAGCTACCAAGCCACCAAGCCCTGAGCGGGTCCGTCAGCGAGCGTGGCAGCTTCATGGCTACTGGGTCCCTTGCAAGGCCCGTTATCCTCAATTTCCTTACAAACTCGGGCTCACGGAAGCTCCAAGGTGCTCAGTGCCATTGCCTAATGGAAACACGGCAGTTCTTCTAAATTCCTGAATCTGATTGCGCCAAACGGTGCTCGCATGAGCTGCTTTTGCATTTTGGCGGGCTCTGGTGGTACGTATTTTGAGATTCGGGACCACCACTTGCTTGCTAGTTCATGCTGGTGCCCCCAAAGTTATTGCATGGTGATTGAGCCGATGTTGCAGATTCTCTTGACAGTCAAAATTGTGCGTAAGCGGCCATCTTCCTTTCTTCCCTTCGTCTCTGCTCGTTCGAAGCAAACTGCAGCAGCTGCTGTTACCTGCCTCTTTGCTTTGCTGCGCAATGGCGCGCCTTAGAGGGCTGTCTCATCAGTTTCGGGCACTCTTCCGCCTCCCGTTCGCCCATTCTGTCTGCAATTGGGGAGCTCGTAGGCATCCACCTTCTGCCGCTTCACCGACGCAGCGGCTTCTTGACGCCTCACGAAGGGCTTCTGCTGTCAGAAGACATGAAAAATCCAGACCAGTTCTGTGCACGATCATCTGGCGCCCAGGGAGGGGAGGGAGAGGAGGGGAGGTAAGAAGGGAGAAGGGAGGGACGGGATGCGAGAGCTCATCCATCTCAACTGCTGGCGGCAACGACTCCTACGAAAAAAGACAACCTACCCTTGACAGGATAAGCATTCCGGTCACGAGGAACATGCGAGCCAGCGCCTATGCTGAAAAGGCTGTATGGCAAGAAGTTCTATATGCACTCGCATGACTGCAACTGACAACGGTGCTCAACCGCCGCCGACAGACACATACATTCTATCAAGCGCTGCGCATGGCGAAGAATGAAAGGCCTCTTTTTGGAGGCGGCAGCGGCTGACACGCCTGCACATCGTGAAGCGGTGTGGCTCACCCTGCGGTCGCCACGGGTAAAGCCACTTCCCCTACTCAATCGACGCCCGCAAGCAGATCCACAAGGTGCCTTGGCCTCTTGAGGACTCTCGCATGCTGTGATCGGTGGCCTTTGGAAGCGGCCTCGATCATGGCCTTGGCCAACGGGTGGTCCGCAGGCAGTGGCGCCTTCAGGCGAGAAAGCTGTCTCAGGCTTGCTGTTGCTGGGTCTTGCGTCGACGCAAGATGCAAACGAGCAGTTCTTTACAGCCCCGACCAAGGGGTCCGTCCACATCAGGCTCCACATGACCGATGTGCACATGTCCTGGCAACACCTCCCGGGCTGGTTCGATTCAACACATGCCGAAGAAAGGCGTGCCTCTTCGTAACCACCTGTCTTGCACCAGTCTTGCATTGAAATGTGCAACACAAAAGGAGGAAGCGAAGCTCATGTGTCCTCAGACTTGAGATTCTGCTGTGAAGAACCGTTATCAGAACACCGGATCAGTCGTCACTGCTTGGAGGCAACCCTACTATGCGCTACTGCATGCGAGGCCTTGCCACTGGAATCGCACAAAGATGACCGTCAGGTTGTCCTGAAGGCAAGCTTTCGCAAAGCTGGGCATGTCGCACCTCTGGAGCCTGGTGAAAGCTAGCGCTCCTCACTGCCACGTTTGTAGGCTTCCTGCACCAGTGCGCCGCACGCTATTCGACAGCCTGAGAGACACAGTGATATCTCAAAGGAGCACCCAAGCGGGGCTCCGAGGGCCACGACGCTTCACCGGATCGGGAGGGCCCGGTCTGCGCATCTCCAGCTCTGCGCAGATCTGACACCCGGCAAGGTGCACGGACTCCACGGGCCAGTTGCGCGCCTCATCGTCTTGCATGACGTCTGTGATGCCATCGCACATCAGCGCCATGAACATGTGTGTCCTGAAGCAAGTGAGCTCAAACAACACAGAGTTTGATAATGATTCGATCTTCCGAAGCATGCCCTTCTGTCGCTTTCCGTGTGCCGCAGTCCTATCCAGCTCAACACACCTGACGTCGGGCGTGGCCACGAGGAGCCCCTTGCCCGTCACTGCCTGTCGTGGGCACACGGAAGCCGTGTTTCGAGTGGCCTCTGGGCCCAGACCCAATGTGCTCTCAACCCTCACGAGAAGCTTTCTGGAGTCCACCTCGACGGAAATTCAAACGGCACGGGGCACGAAGCGTTGTTGGAGTTTTTGGGGATAGGTTGCTAGGCAGTCCTGAGAAGTCGGGTGCTGTTTTCGCTGCACCCATCTCATCCCATCTCTACCCTCCCCATGCAGCCCTTGGAGCTTCAGAAGACCTTCTGAACCGCCTACAACAAAGTCCCAGTCCGCAGGCGCACCTTGAAGTCACGGTCGCCAATGGCTCGAGACACGGCCAATGCCACCGGCTCCTGTTCCATATCAGGGAGCCAGACATTCAATTCTTGATTCTTGGTGTTTCCGCAATCTGCACTGCTAAGCCATGTGCCATGGCCTTCCCGGCAAACCCCATGCCGAGCACTTGCTGTCGCCGGATTTCCCGCATCTTCTCCTGGTAAAATCACGTTTGCATGCCGGAGTAAGATACAGATACAATGTGCATGTACATGTACATGTGCATCGCTATATGACTGTACAAGTGTAGTATGCAGTTATCTATCGATGCATACATACATGCATACATACATATATTTACATATATACACCCCTATGATCCACCTCCGTCTTTCTTCGATATGCAAACCACATGGAAATCACTGCAAATGACTTTGCTGCTATCAGAAGCTCACAAGTCCACCCAAAACTATGTCACAAAATCGGTGGTTCGGAGCATAGCGAGGCAAACTTCAAACATATACCCAGACTGTGCTACGAGATTCGACTGAATTGTGTTTATGTTTCAACCTCATGACGGACTAGCATAATAATGCTGAACTATCAACTGTTACAGAAATCCAAAAATCAAACGATTTTGGCAGAATCTTTGGATTCGCATCTGTTGGATTTTTTGGATTTCCATTGACTTTTTTGATACTCTGGATGGAACCCAAAAAACCCTACGAAATGTTTGGATTTTGGTGGTATCGCTGGTCAAAATCGTTACATTCCTGAGGGTTTTGGGATTTTGGAACGAAATCAAAAAATCCCCATGAAAATTTGAACTTTGGTGGTGTGGCCGGTCGAAATCATTGTGTTCCCTATGGTGTTTTGCCGATGGCGTGGTGCCTAGAAACGCACACCTCTACAAAATAAAAACCATATACGACAAACCGGAATCGCCAAATATGAAAGCGTGTTTTTCAGATATACGATGAAGGGGCGTGTGTAATATGTATGATGAAGGGCCGAGGGCACGGTGCCTAGAAATGCACCAAAAAATACAAGGAGGAGCTTTGTGTTTCAATTGTGAAGTGTATGTTCCCCCCACTCCCCAGACCCAGCGATGGTGGATCCGGGAGGCGAGCTATTATTTACATATGTATATATGTATATGTATATATATATATATTCACATATTTATATATGAACGTATTTATTTATTTGTATGTACTTCCCTCATTAACTACTCACTCTTGGTTTGTGTCGACAATACTGTGCTAATCCAGCTAATCCGGTCCGGATTCCGATCTCTCAAAGACTGCCAAAACCGAACCCAGATTTCAAGCGAACACGCCAGGCAACTGGTTCAGGTTCGATGTGAGCACGCGCTCAACGGCAACACTGTACTCTTCCAATCAAAACCAACCCTTTCTGAGGGAAAACAAAAAACAACATCTTTCAGGGAACTATACGGCCAGACACCAAAAAGATTGTTTTGGGTGATTTCCTAGGAGAAAGTTGGTCTTCTCATCCAATCGGAAAAGATTGGTTTGCGGGGCAAACCAACTTTGTCAAGGTAATATTTAAGGCCAAACCTCTGTTTCCCTAGCGAAAAGTTGGTATTTCACTCCAGAGCCGGGAACATCTAGATTCTAGATGATCGAGTCATGCACACCAATTCCTGAACTTTGGCTTTAGAGACCGGATGCTATGACATCGTGCGTAAACCTGAATAAGCGTGTGCGGGGCACCATTAGAGACTTGTTCTTTGCCATTTACCCACCACCAGGTCACCCTTTCAGTGTTTGTCAAGTATAGCTAGGTGTGCCTCCAATCACAATCACAAGCCAAATTCATCAACATCAACCATGCTCACCAACAGCAGCTAATTATACTAGAACCGTCAATGTCAGCATCGCTGCTCGTCTCATCGTCATGATCATCAGCAGCATCGTGACAGTAACAACGCGAACCAAATCGTCTGACACAAACCAGAAGAAGAGAACACAAACGACAGCGAAAGCGACAAGTGATCAGCAGCAGCAAGAAGAAAAAGAAAGACAACAACAGCAGCAGCAACAGGAGTCACCTTCCCTAGGAATGGGTGATACTGCAGTGCGACCTGACTTCGATCGATGCAAAGACAAGCGCCACGATGCGTAGTGAGCGTAGTACAACTCTGTGTTCTTCTCAAGCCACAACTAGGAAAAAAACTAAAACCCTAAAAATGATCCATACCCACGCAGGTATCTGTGCGCCATTGCACGCCTCGTAGCCGTCGTGAGCGACTCTGTACCTGGTAGTCTTGTTGATGGGGCACACGGTTGCCGTGCCATGTTAGTTGTGTAGGGTGTAGCGAGTATCCTCAACATCTTTCTTATAGTTGCTCAGATACAGTTGACTCTCGTGACTCGAAACGACGACTATGTAGACGACGCAAGCAATACTACCACTACCGCTGCAACTACCACGATCACTAGTCACGATTGTGGTGTAATCGTCTTAGACTTCATGAACAGTGGCGGCAATTGCAGTTGTAGTTGTCGTCGTAGAGCAGGAGCAGCAGCTGCAGCAGCAGCAGCAGCAGCAGCAGCAGCAGCATTGATTCGGCTGCTACCAACTTGACGGTCAGTGACCACCACAGTATCGCTATTCTCACGAATGCTGCCTCTCGTGTCTGTCCCAGTTTTGTCAATGAACATGATCTCTGTTCTGACTCTACCTTTTGCAAATCATCGCTGCTACTGTTGCTGTGATGATTTGGAACATATTGAACATTGCAAACAGCATCCAGCCATGTAGAAAGCAAAACTGTGCTGCGACAGCCACACCGATGCAAGGCACTACTTGCATGGCATGTTGGGGATCGCAGAAGGCTCGGCTGATGCTGAGGACAAGCACACGCCCATCCCGAAGTCCAAGACGAGGCCACCAGCATCTTTGACCCTCTGAGCCTGCCAGAACTTGCCCCTACTCAAGCTTCGACAGGCGGAGCCATGAACTACATGAAGCAGCCCTGCACATTTCTCAGGCACGAAGCCTCAGCCTCTAAGTTCGGCCGATGATCCTTGCGGGAACGGCCCCATGACCCACCAGTAGGGCTTGTCTTAGGCAGCAGTCTAGCTTCCCCCTGGCTTCCTGTCACATGATTTTCTTAACGCGTTCCTGCAAACCTCATGGAGAAAGGTCTTGGCAACTGTCCTCCGTGAGGGATTTCGCCAGCACCTGTTGAAGCTGCGACCTGTCCAGATGTCATCAGTGTCAGGCTGCATGGCAGCAAGGACGGCGCCACAAGACCGGACAAAATTCACAACGGATCACAACGGCCTCTGACAAAGCACGAGCCTCGAGTCTCCCACCTCGGTTTATGCGACTCTGAGATCTCTTTGCTCTTTGTCCCTGCTATGGCCATGTCGGAACGTCCAGGCTGCGGACCCAAGCCGTGAAAAGCTTGGTTCCGACGATGAGCGCCACGACCTTCCAACAACAGTGCCAACAGGCTTCCAAGTCGACATGCTCGATGCCGTTTGCGCATCCCAGACCGTGAGCCAAAGATTCCGAGGCCCAGGCGAGCGTGGTTCCATCTGGCGAGGTCCGGAACTTTGCCAGAAATTCTGTATCCAACTCCTTTCATGCAAGTCAGACTGGCAGGCAAAGCCAAGCCTATCTTACAGGAACAATTGACCTCCCGACTGATCGCTACAGATCCAACTGCGCGGAAGCACCTCGCAGACTTCCCTCAAGGCATCACCTGAGATGGGCCAAGACGCAGTCGGCTACACAGAGGTCGGCAGTGCAGAAACCGCTCTTGCTCACACCGAGTCCACCACTAATCCGCGTCTCGTCCCAGGACGCAGTGTTCGTGTCAGATGACAACTGCACAGCGGTGCTGGTGGCGAAATATTGTGAACTAGCCGTCAGGTCTCAAGCCCTGCTGGCGCACCCGCTTCAGCAGCTTCACATGGAAGCCCTTTGCGACGAACTCGGCGCACTGGTGGCCCTGCATTCATCTCCGTCCCATGCGGGCAAAGACACAGATCACAGGCAGAAGTCTGCGACCATTCCGTCTCCCCAGAGCACCCTCAAGCCTCAACACCGCAAACCTGTATCACAGCTGCAACTTGGGGTGAGATCTTCCGCCTGGTGTCCGTCGTAAACGGAGAAGAATGCGCAAGGCTGCGGAAGGTGATTGATCGGCATCTTCAGCGCCTCGCCAAGCTCAAAAGTGGAACCCTAAACCTCTTCTCGTGAAGCGCAACCTCTAGCCACCTACGAACTCGCCTTCGCAGCCTTTGTCAGGTCAGGAATCTTCACGTGTCGATCCTGCGAAGCTTTAACAGACTGTTTTGCTGCATGTCACAGGGCTAGAGTCTAGAGTCTAGAAGTTCTCGTTGTGTCGCATCGCTCTCCTCCTGCTTCGGCCGTCGGCCCTGCATGGACGCCGAGTCTACGGCGAAGGAGAAGGGAGCGACAGGCACCCTGGCAGAAGCTGGTGCTACAAGCAAATGCGCCCAACCTCCATGCAACAACTCCCTGTCCGGGCCATGTGTTAGTTTGTCAATTGCGCCGGGGCTGACGGCGCAGCTTCTGGTGGCAAGTCCCTGGGCACGCGCTACGGTCTGTATCAGTGGTTTCAAGCCTTCTGGGGCAGGGACTCTGCAGCCAGTTCTCTGCGAAGCGCATCGAAGTCAACCTGCAGCAGCCGCACAGAACCAAATCTCTCACTCGTCACTTTAGTTTCTGTTTCTGTGGCCGCCAGCGTGTAGTAGAGTGTAGGGACGACACATGTGGGGGCAGCACGGAGCACATGGTCGCTTAACGCTCGCTGCCATGAGCCGGAGCTTTCCTACAAAATGCTTCAGAAGCCCAAACCCTATACACCCGAAAGCATGCTCCAACGATCCAATATGTACCCGACACCTCCCCTTTGCCCCCAGCCCGAGTACGCCCTGCAAAGCCGTGCGCCTCGGGCAGGCCGGGCTCCTCCTGCGGCGCACGGCTTAAGAATGGTACAAGAGTCCGTGCCAAAAATGGCAGTATCCTCGTCTTCTGAGGCAGTATGAATCTGATTGAGTGATATCGCTGCTGCTTCCTCTTTCGACTCCCGTCTTTGCAGTTGCATCTTGGACATGGTTGGCGTGAGTGCCAGCCCATGGTACGCAGCGTGCCGACTTCTGGGATAGAGGCTGCGCGACTACCTGCTCCCCCTATTCCGAAAACTCGACGGGCTGCAGTTTCTCAACTTCTCCACAACCTGCCCTGACATGGCGCAGACCCGATGGGCCACGGCTCCACACTATCACTACCATGCGAGGGTAACAAAGAAACCTACTGTAAAGCTTCAAGCACGGAGACTTGCCATGGGCCTCCTCTTTCTCAGGTTCAGCAGCCGCCTCCTTCGCCGGAGGCGGATCCGCTGCGTCCTGCAAGAAGGTGCTTGCGGTAACGGTTCGTGATCCAAAGTGGGACTCGGGCTTTGGCTCTGACAGGGCTTAGGCCCAACGTCAGCAGAGCAGGCGAACGGTCAAACACTCGTCTCAGAAGTAGAAAAGAGTACCGTTGTCTCGCCCCCTTTTCCAGCGTTTCTGCGCGCTGCGATGTCTAGACCAACCAGAGTGATTTGCTTTCACTGATGGACTGGCAAGCTTGTAGTTGATAAGCAAATCCATGACTGGGTTCCGGGACTTGGCCATGGGGCCCCCCCTGAACTGGCCTAGACATGAAACTTGGTGCCTCCTCGCCTGCATACGACTCAGGGAGTGGGGGATGTTCCATGCGAAGGGTTCAGCTCTTTGAATCGGATGGGTGGAGGCTGAGCGTGGTCCTGCACGCAAGAGGCACCTGAGAAACTGTAAAGAGTTACTTGCATCCAGCTTCATTAGGCTGTGGAGCTCGCTGTCAGCTCCACACTCTCCTGCAGCACTGCTAGCACGAGTAGGACCTCCTGTCGGAAGGTTCGTTTCATTCGCCTTTCTCTCTCCTCAACGACGCGAGGAGCACGGTAGGCCAGGGGCGCGGCGATGATACTTCGCTTGCAAAAGGGTCTGTAGATAGCGCTAAACCCTAAACCCTAAACCCTAGCCTTAGATGCTGTAGATGGTGCCGGCGGACTCCAGGTCCCGCTCAGTCTCCGCCTGAGGCCTCTCGAAGCCCAGGGACATGCGCGAGGCGCGCAGGTCCTGTGATGAGCCCTAAGTCTCTAAGCCCTAATGAAAGCTAGTTTATACAGTATATACTACTAGACCTTACTTCGCTCTCGGAGGGCTCTCCTGGATCTGAGGCTTCAGGAGGTCCCTGAGCTCCCGCAGCATCGCCACCCGCTCTCGGCCGTAAGGCCCGGCGGAGAAGGCGAAGCTGTGCACCAGACCTGAAATGATTTGCTTTGGCAGTCTCTCACCAGGTGACTTATGTGGATTGTGTTCGAGGCCACGCCTCGATCCAGATCCAAGAACAAGTCTGGATGCGTCAGCAAGCGCGAATGTCCATCGATCGGGCTGCGTTGCAGGAGCCACCTGAAAGGCAGGGCAGGGGTCCGCCCTTGGGGCTTCGGGGGCTGGGTCGGGCCTCGAGAGAGGTATGCCACCGCTGTCCAGTTGCCCTCGCGCTTTGCTTCCATAAGAGATGGCGTCTACCACGGACTGGTGGACAAAAATCTGCAGCAAGTGCCCCGGGTTCTCCGGCTGCTGGCAGAGCCGCCAGCTGGGCACACGGAGCCCATACTTCCTTGGCAAAGGCAGAGGCATGAATGCATGGGTGACCAAGATGCCAGACCCTCCCGATCCGGAACACAACGAGGCCAATGTCTTTGAAGAAGATTCCGGCCCATTGCCAAGATGGAGGTCACAAGAGGATCCAGCGCCTGTGCACGGCCACTGCAAACACCAGCTGCCAGCAGGAGATCCTTGAGCATGCGGCGCCTTGCCATGTGAGTGATTCTGCGAAAATGAATCCCCAAAACCGTGAGCAGATGGCTAGAAGCCCCTAGGAAGGAGGATGAATGCGTTGCGACGCTTCGCAGTTTTCTTTAGCTCAGGCACATGGCGCCAGCCGAAATGCTGCTCGGGAATCCCCGGATAAGCCAAGCTTGCAGCATGTTCTGGGGCTGTCCACCCGAAGCCAAACAAGAGCAAAATGCAGAAATTGCCACGGCCTCAGAGCTGTAACAGCACGTTCACAACACAGCACAAATTCTCTCTCTTTGCCTTGCTACTGGTGTGAGGTACCGGCAGTCCCGATGCCCCGCGCTCCAGGCGCTTCCCCATCCATCATGCTCTCTCTCTCTTTCTTTCGGCAGGGCTAGGGGCAGAGAGGTTTCCTGCTCTCTGACTAAGCCCCTGAATGCTGAAAGCCATTGCACCTGAAACTCAGCCGTCTGGTCGTGCATGGTGCTTTCCCAGATTTGCAACAAGTGTTGCAAGCACTTGACGTTCTGGTATGGTTGTCTTCGCAGGCGCGGAATAGGAGGCCCATCAATGGGGTAGTCCAGAATACATGCAGCCAGTGCTGTCTGTACTTCGTAGAGCAGGCAAGAAGACGAGTAGCTGTGATAGAAGACCACATAGTCTTCCTTGTACCGAAGCTCGTTCCGCAGCAGTTCATGGATAATTTTGCCGACCGTGTCGCGCATCACCGGCCGCAAGGGCTTGAGCAGATGGCGGAAGAGATCAACCGCATCAGCGCGATCTTCAAGTGAAGGGCAGGAGCTATACCTTAGCATGGTCCTACCGTCTTCGATTCTTTTCGCATGAACCGGGCATCTGCGTGACACCCGCACGTCTCTTGAGCAAGCCAGATTGCATCCTTCTGGACGGCCACTCTTACAAAGCAAAAGCCTTTTCCGACCTTTAGAGCGCCTTCTTTCGTTCAGTCGAAAAGCATGTGGCGTACTAGAGGAACGTTGTTCACGGATTTGTGGCAGAAACAGCTTGTTGTTCTTGCGATGGCGATGATCAGAAAAAGCAAAGATGAAGGCCCCCCCCCCCCACAAAAGTCTCCGCGTGCCGAGGATCAGTGGCCAATCGTGCTCTTGGATTGGGCTGACAGCTTCCACCGGTGGCCGCGGGGCTGCGCGCCGTGGAGCGCCCTCGATGTTGCCTTCGATGTCCACCTCGAAGCCCACAAAACGAAGCAGCTTGGACAGCAGACAGCACACACACAGGAATATCGGAGAGGTTCTCTCACTCAGACTCGGACAGCAGGCAAAGCTCTGGGCACGCGCAGTATGCTGGGTTTCGTGCAGCAGATTCAGGACACAGCGATTAGGATTGAGGTTCGGGGCTTTGGGAAAGGGGGCCGCGTTAGGGTCTGAAGTTCGCTGAAGTCCTTGCGGAATCCAGGCTTTGGGCCTGGGAGCCCGCCCCTGAACTCAAACGCCCTCCAGCCGAGCTCCAAGTCTCGACTGGAACTCCGTTAAGTCTGAGCACTGCACCTGAACCCTGAATTCAATACCCTAAACAAAGCGAGGGCTGGCTCGGCACCCCTGCCAGCTCCGAGGAATGATGCTTGCTTGAATCTCTACTCCTTGCGGTAGACCGCAAGCCCAAAAAGATTTCCGGCGGCGAGAACCAGGCTGTCAATCCCTAAACCCCAGAAGGAATGATCGCCGGAGAACCGAAAGACCCCACTGAGTGCTTCACAAGACGGATGACTGGGAAACTTAACCCCGAAACGAGAGATGAGCAAGCCGTGCGGGCGAGGGACGACAGTGGTGGCTACCAACCCCCAAACTCCATGCCACAACAACTACAACGGCGATTGGTCACTCAGTCAATGTGGCACGCTGTGGCTGGACCTCCTGAAACCCAGAACACTAACGGTACCCGAAGTGACCTATACAGCAAAAGGACCATGCCCGGTAGGCAAGCCCCGAATCGTGGGCAAATCGGAACTGGATCGCTGGCACGTAAATTAGCCTGAATCGAAAAGAAGTTGCAATGGGTCGTAGGCTCCCTTCCTGCAGCACTGAAAGAGCTGGGCAATCGTAGTCTGCAGGAAAGCGGCCGTATGTAGGAGCGGCTGCTGAATCCCGTTGTGGGAGTTCCCTCGCTTGTTGTGGCCAGTGAGGTACAGCTTAAGCAGCCAAAGCAGCGTGACCATGAGCCAAGAATGGGGAATAAACGGAGCCATCCCGCAGCTGGAGCGCAGCAACAAGCAGATAGTCATGGCTTCCTGAGGCAACGCTGCTGAAACTTGGGGCAGAGCTGTTTGGAGCCTGGCTGCAGCACAGCAGCCGAGTGCTGGTTCACAGACCTTCGAGCAAATGTCGAGATCTCTTCGCAGACATCGGACAGATGCCCCTTGGCGAAGCCGCGAAGGACTGAATACGCAACGCCCGCCACGTTTATGGCCGTCCCAACCTGCGAGGATCTCGAAACTCTCGGAGACTCGTCAAAATAAATACAGGCTAAACGCCTGTCGGGTGGCGTTGGGATGGGCG